CATATATCATGGGCTGCCAAAAAGACAAATAAATGTGGCCTAGAGCAATCCAAGTCTGAACTCTCCCTAGAAGCCACGATGACTAAACTGAAGTTGTCAAAGTATGGACATTTCATGAGATGACATAAGTAATTAAAAATGACAATAATGCTTGGTAAAATACACAGTAGGAAAAGAGGGAGACCATGGTAGAGGTGGAAAGAGGCAGTCAAGAAAGTTCTTATTGTGTTGGACCTAAGCAAGTAGTGGATGACAGTTTCTTGGAGGTGTCTCATTCAGTGAGTTGCTATAAAATGAAGCCAACATGACAGCAATTAAGAACACAAACCCAGAGCTTAGAAACATTACCTCTTTGCACTACATTTCCCAGAATTTTCCTTTGGGAGTATTTCCAAGTAATTGATGAAATATGTTAAATACATTTGTATTCAGAGACAGAGGGGTAGAGAGAGAGAGAGAGAGAGAGAGAGGAGAGAGAGAAAGCCCCCTGTTATTTTTTAATTACATGGGAACAGGTTATATTACTGTTGGCACTGGTTCCACATTAACATAAAATGCACTTTATTTTATTACCTGGATCAGCTCAGAGACTGTGATGGGGCATAGTAATGGTGGATGTGGAAAGGCATACTAACCATAGTAACCACATTGAATGCAATGCAGTCGAGTGTAATTAGTAAAGCAAAACAGAAAGGAGGCTGCATTGCTTGCGGTAATTAAATAATGAAGGCCATGATGGGAAAATTCTATGGAAGGAAATTTTTACCGTAAAATGATGACTACACATCAGGGGCTTCAGAACAAAGGGAATGGAAAGAAAGTCTCCTTGAGGTCAGATAAAAATAACAATGAATAAATGGTTGCAAGTGCAGCTCACTCCAGAGCAATTACAGCAATAAATTAAGTAGTTGTCAACCTTCATATCAATGAACAGAAAAGCTGGAGCATCAGACACCTCACATAAATGAAGACAGCAATGTGCATATATCTCATCCCTTCCCCTCACACATATACAAGGTCTAAAGGTTAGGAAATAATCTTTGTCCTCCACAGATAATAATAATAATAAATAATTTCTATCCCTCTGCAATGCAATCGGTTGCATGATCCATCTCAGTGTTTGATAACTTTGGGCCTTTGCAGACTGCCAGAAATAGTGCACATTAAATTGAGGCACTGCCCTGGCTCAGTGCTAGGGAATCATGGGAACTGTATTTTATTGTGGCACCAGAGCTCTCTGACAGAGAAGGCTCAATGTCTCTCAGAAAAAAATACAATTCCCATGATTCCCTAGCACTGAGCCAGGGCAGTGCCTCAATTTAATGTGCACTATTTCTGGCAGTCTGCAAAGGCCCTCTGATAAATTAAGGTTATTATTTTTTACCCGCCTCTCCCCATGGATCAAGGTGGGGAACAACAACAATTAACAGACACATATATATTCTTTAAAATAATAATATATTATTATTAATAATAATATATAATAATATATAATAATATATTCTGTTTTCTTTACAAGATTAATGGTCTGTATTTCCTTCAAGAATGTCAAAAGAGAGTTGATACTTCTACTTCCCTACTCCATTTTGTTTTCATAATAGTCCTTTGAGATGGGGTAGTTTGAAGGAGTACTATTAGCTCAGACCACATGACGGCTCTGCTCTCTACATGTGCACACACAATGCACATTATAATTATTATTATAGAAGTGGTAACTAGGGATGGGCCCCACCAGAGACCATGATCCGGTGAGCTTTCCTCACTCTCTTCCTCCTCCTCCAGCTGCTCCAAGCACCCCTTTCTCTTCCCTTTTTGTGAAACAGAAAAAGTTTGTGAAGCAGAAGAGGAGAAGGGGGAAGGATTGGGGCTTCCAGATTTCACATCTCCCTTGACCCCTGGTGGTGCAGTCATTAAATGCTGGTACTGCACCCACAATGTTGTGAGTTCGATCCTAGAGGAGGGCTCCAAGGTCCACTCAGCCTTGCATCTTTCTGTAGGTTGCTAAAATAAGTACCCAGCTTGTTGGGGGTAATTGGCTTACACATTATAAACCACTTAGGGACTGCTAGTTCACTGATAAGCGGTATAGAAATGTACTTGCGATTGATATTGAGCAACTCTTGCGCCACCCAAGGGTCCTGTGCTACACTATTTCAGGCTCAAAAACTTGCCTTAGGTATGCTACGATCTAGATTGCTCAAGATATTGGAAAAAACCCCTCCCCATCTCAGTTTCTGTTCATCCTTTGAATGTATTTATAAAATAAAATTAAACTATGGCCAAACAGAGATCCCAATAAATTCTGACAGGCAGTGGTAATTCTGTGACAGGCAGACACTGGCCTGTGACAATTTAAGAGGCTGTTGCTTTATTAAAAACACGAAGCATGGATGAGTGGATTGGTCTTACTTGGCATAATCAGGTCATGGCGAATAATGTGCAAGCAAAATGACTGTGAGCTGAGAGAGATTAGCTGTGATGATCCCCTTTAGCTGTTGCCAACCTCCCCTTTCTTTAAAAAAATAAACAGAAAGGACTTAGAAAACTTACTTGCTTGAACTACAACTCCCAGAATCTCCTAGCTCTATATCTAACAATTCTCTTAGCAATTTGTTTAGGATGTCAGCTAGGCCTGGAATTGAATTTGACAGTCATCTTCCTTGTACTCCTTCCTTCACCAGTTAAACAGATCTTCCCCCAATCTGGCTGCTGGCTATTAAGGTATAAACTAAAGAAAGGGATGCATTTATGTAGTTTTACATTAACACTACAAAGTCTTAGTCTTACTGAATGCAGAGCAGTAACAGATCCTTAACTCTAGGTTATGAATCCATAACTGAAATACTGAATGCCAACTGTTGTTCTTAATATATATATATATATATATTAAAAAATCCTTTACAGCTTGGCTATAGCAGCACATGAATTTTGTATTGGTGATAATGAGCACTTTGTACCAGCTAAGGATGACCTGCCAAATAATAAACCCATCTGCTCTGACCATTCTCCATTTTAGCAACGTGATGAAGGGAATTTTGGAAATAATTTGTGAGGCACATCAACTAAATTAATGTGCTTGCTACCTGACTCTTGAGTTTTTGATAGGAAATTGAATGCAATGTTGGGGGGTTGCAGACTGTCACAAATAGTGCACATTGAGTCCATTTTTAGGGTTAGGGTTAGGGTTAGGGAATCATGGGAACTGTAGTTTATTGTGGCACCAAGAGCTTTCTGACAGAGAAGGCTCAATGTCTCAGAAAAAAAAAACATTCCCATGATTCCCTACAACTAACCCTAACCCTAAAAGTGGACTCAATTTGCACTATTTCTGGCAGTCTGCAACCCCCCGTTATGTACCAAACCCTAGTGTGTGGATACATATTTATATTTGTTTCCGTCTGTCTGTCTCAACCGTTAAACAAAGAACTTAAAAATCCATGGGAGAGATTTGAATGGAAAGTTCAGATGGAAAAACCAAACATGTTGATATAGTTCACTTGGGCAAATTCTACATTAATAAGCTGGGATGTGTATGTGCTTCTTGCACCATCATCCATCCATGTTTGTTGCTGCGTTGCCCTTCCCTTCGTACAAGGAAACAAAAAGCCAAAAGTCACAGTTAGCTACAGCTTCCAGAAATGAGCAAAGCGAGAAAAACTAATGGTTTTAAAACAAGCCAGGATTCAGAATCAAGCTTTAACGCAGTATGAAATGTGTGTCCTCCAATTATCATGATTTGGCAGAAAGAGTCCCAATTAATCCTCTATCATCCCAATTTTTTGGTTGCTTTTCAAATGTCCCAGTTTCTTTCTCCTCAATTCCTTCTCAGCTTACTTCAGCTGCTGCAAACTGAGTTGAAATGAAAAGTGTTTTGGACTCAGCTCAGTAGGGGACAGAAGATAGGGCAAAAGCATGCCCTTCCCTGCAGGATCAAGCAAAAACAAACTGTTGTAGCCTCACTTAGATTGTGTGTTCTTCCTCATCGATAATGTTTGCCATCTTGACCACATTCTAATGCTACTTGGTCATACTTGCACATATCCCAATTTAATCTGTGAAATATTGAAAGGAAGGTAAATGTTGGCTTCAAAGTTTGTTAGAAACACTGAATCACAGTTTATAGTCCAATGGCTAACATGGGCAAAGGTGGAGTGGTATAGAAGCAAAGAGGCTGTGTGTGAGGAGTTGAGTAATCCAGAGTTAGATCAAGTGAATGTGGCTGTGATTCCAGGTCTACTTTGCAAGACATGAAGACACAATTAGGAGGAAAACTTTGCAATCTTGGTGGTGAGACCTTTGAAAGGGGCAACCACAAAATAGTGGTGTGGTTGTCACATGGATCCAGTAGGCCACTTATTGTGTACTCCTGATGTTAAGCATGTTAAAAAGGTTGGGATTTAGAGAAAGATCTGAAAGCTGATGAAAAAATGGTTGAAATTAATTAATGTAAAAAAAATGGCTGAAGATCTGAATTTAAGTATGCTGGGAGAGGTATTTTACTGAACTTTTTCTCTAGCTTCTACTTGATATCTGTAAGCAGTTGTCAAAAACAGTTCTCTACCTCAGCAAAGAGCTCCAGCTCCAGCAGCTCCAACCGCTGAGGCTGCTCAAACAAACAACAGAATATGTACTTTCTTCTTGGGTTCTCTGGATATGAATATTGCATATGCAGTCACAATTATCTGAACAATGTGCAGTTTTAAATCCATGTTGTAAGCAACAACACATCATATTCTGTAATAAAGTGAACAAAGATCCAGTCTCCCAAAGTTCTATGCAGCCATTGATACCTTCCTTGTAGAACTCTTCTACATAAGCTGCTCAGCAATATGCAACCTTAAATGCAACTTTAAAGCCCTGAATAAAAATGCAAAATAGATTTGTTATAGTTGTGTGCCTTCAAGTTGTTTCTGGCTTATGGCAACACTAAGGTGAATCTGTCACAGGGTTTTCTGGGGCTGAGAGGGTGTGACTTGCCCAAGATCACCCAGCAGGTTTCATAGCCGAGCAGAGAATCAAACCCTGGTCTCCAGAGTCCTAGTCCTGTGCTCAGACCACTACACCACTAGCTCTCATGCAAATATGTAAGTTACTCTTTTATCTCCTACAAACACATTTTTAAAAACATCAACTACTCATCATGGGATTTTCTTGGCAAAGTTTGTTCAGAGGTGGTTTTGCCATTGCCTATAGATATTGGAGCTTGGGCAGTTTTCCACATGTTAATTTGGACAAGACAATCTAAATCTTTGTTCCTCTCAGCTCTTCATTAACATCCAAATTAATGCTTTCCCCCATGCATTATAAACTAAACTTGCTGGTGCCAGTTTCTCTGTGAAATTAATTAAAATGAATGTCTCCAACACAGCAAGGGTGGCTGAGACACTTCAAACTGATGGTCAGTGTACTGACACCAAAAGGTGTTGTAATTGTACATACAGCTACACTGTACTCAGAGATAACTGCTAAGATGACTGCAATACAGAAAATGACAAAAAGTATTGGTCTGGATCAGTTGATGCAAGATAATCAGTTAATCAATTTCTTTCATTAAAAGTGTAGTCTTTAAAAGTTCAAATTAGGATTTTCCCACAGAATTAACTTTTGTTGTGTGCCATCAATTCATTGTGTCTTATGGCAATCCTAAGGTAAACCAATCACCATGGTTTCTTGGCAATGTTTGTTCTGAGTGTGTCTGCCATTGCTTTCCTCTGGGGCTGGGAGAGTGTGTAACCAAGATTGCTCAGTGGGTTTCCATGGTCAAGCAGGGGTTTAAACCATGGTGTCCTAGGGCTAGTCTACACGTTAAAATGCTCCTCATTCCAGCTCAATAGAATATGATCCAGCCACATGAAATTCACAGGAATTCAGTCTTTTTGGCACACCCCTGAAAAACTCCTTAAACTTTGTGGGAAAAGGCTTCACAGTTTTTACCGGAGTATCCACTGAAATCCACAGAAATGTGCATTATCACACTTGTGGCTGTTGGCCTGCTTTGCATGCATTTGGATGGCTGTGCATTTTCGGCAGAGGGAGGGTAAATATAGCCGATCTTCCACATTTACAACTTTGATGTTTGCATATTTGATTATTTGTGGATTTGATTAGGAATCTCTTTAGGAATCTCCCTAGGTTGGAATATTTCTCTAGAAATATCTAGGTCCTCCAGCGCAGCTCTGCCAGGAGTTGACCACAGAGATGTGCTGGGGGACCATATACATTAAATTCTGATTGATAACAGATTGTATGCCAAAGTGGCAGCAGAAATAGTAGAATCTGTCAGTGTGTGGATGATGGATGTTGCAGTGATGCTCTTTGGCACCCAGCAGAATCCCCAGGACAAGCTCGCTGCTGTGATCCACAGGGCTATCTTATCACCTCTTAACTGTCTCTTCTCTTGGCTAAACATACCCAGCTCTCTAAGTCGCTCCACAATAGAGTATGGTTTCACCATTTTGGTCACCCTCCTCTGGAAACTCTCCAGCTTGTCAACATTCTTTTTGAATTGTGGTGCCAGAACATAGTATACCAGGTGAGGCCTGACCAAAGCAGAATAGAGTGGCACTATTACTTCTCTTCATCTAGACACCTTACTTCTATTAATACAGTCTAGAATTGCATTTCAGTAAGGCTCCATGGTAAACCTATGAATATCACCATAATTCAAGTATATGCACCAATCACAGAGGCAGAACAGGAAGAAACTGATAGGTTCTATGAAGAATTACAGGAAGAAATTGACAGCACATCAACAAGGATTCAAGCTGATAATTGGAGATTGGAACACAAAAGTTAGAAGCAAAGAAGAATCAAAAATAGTAGGCAGATTTGGATTAGTCAAAAGAATTGAAGCAGGTGAGTGTCTCCTAGATAATAATAATAATAATAATAATTTATATTCTGCCCCTCTGCAACACAGTTGGGGCCAGTATGAAGCCAATAATATATTCATTGCAAACACATTCTTCATGTAACCAGAAAGAAGGTTATACACATGGACATCACCAGATGGTCAACACAGAAATCAAATAGATTATATAATTAAATATAATAGATTGTATAACCAACATATATCAACAGATATGGAAAACAAAATGATGGCCAACAGATTGGAAGCGATCAATATACATCCCTATCTACAAAAAAGGAGATACAAAAGACTGTAGCAACTATAGCACTGATCTCCCATGCAAACAAAATTATGCTCAAAATTCTGCAACATAATCTCCAACCTTACATGGAGAGATAAATCCCAGAGGTTCAAGTGGGTTTCAGGAAAGGAAGAGGC